AGCTGATACAAACTTTATATAAACAGCTGCTCCTTACAAGAGAGATACTGTTTTTGTGCAGGTTATGCAAACACAAACACATCCCTATCCTTGCTTTTGTTCTATCTTTGCCACACCTGTTAAAGTTTGCAGGCCATCCCTCCCAGCTTCTGTGGCACTTTTTTCTGAATTAAGGGGGCAGTGGTAGTAGTCCTTTAGTGCTGGGCATCAGAAGTTGAGCCTGGGCAGTAAGTGCCCTGCCAGCATTACATCAGGAAACATCTACTGGTAACTTTGATGATATTTTTCATGATGCCCAGAGTGGCTGCAATGGCAATACCCCCACTTTGCCAGCCTTTTCTGAACTGCTTTTTTAGTCATCTGTGCTGAGACCATGTGCACCATCAGCTCAGTTACCACTATTGCTTCTTCAGCGTTGGCCATTTCTTGTAGCTCAGTGCAATAAAATGGGGAGCTGGTGATGTTCTCTTGGACTTCTCTACTGTCAGAGCTGCTACTGCAGTATTTGTAACAATTCTGTTAACATCAAGCAAGCTGAGCCAAAGGGTTAGTTAGAAAGTCTTTGTTACAGTGGGTATAGCTTTTAGGACCCGTTAAAAGCATCATTAAAGACCTCACTGGTTTAGACCATTAGTGCTGTTAAGCTGTACCAACATCTACAGTGACGATTTGTGGTAGGTCCAGGAGACTGCTGTGAGAGTGCAACTATCACCCATTGTCTAGGGCCTTGCCTAGGCTCCTGCCACTCAGCCCCAAAGCCCTGCAGTACTACAGCTTCTCGGTTCTGTTGGTGCAGAAAGCATCAGTGCTATCATGACCAGGTACATTGGTTTTGAATCATCTTTTTTGTTTGCAAATCAAGACCAGCTTTATTAACCCAGGGCAAAGCATGTTTGGTATTTTTTTTAAAAAATGTTTTCCACCTGTGCTTTCCTGATTGATAAAAGCATACATACAGATCTTTTCAAATAGAAAATAAAGGCTTCAGTCAGCTACAGGAATCTCTCCAAGCAACAGCTTCTTGAACTTCTTTGTATGCATAGCTGCTAAGGCCTTTCAAAAGGATATTGTGCTTACCTGTGTAGAGCCACTGTGCAGTCCAACAGGCCACGACAACTCGGCATCAGTGAATGGGCTTGTTCCAAGGCCTTGAGTCTTTTTTTCCTGAAAAAATGGCATTGTACTTGTCTTGCAGACTTCCACTTGCAGCTGCCTTGTCCTTGACATGTGAGAACCGAAAGAGCAGCTGTGCCAGAGGGCTGCACATTCACAGCTTTCACTTCTTCAGAGCTGTCACCAATGTAGCATTTTTTTTTTTTTTTTTTGCAGAGGCTTGAACCTGCCAGGAGGCAAAGCCAAGCCCCAGAGCCTGGCAGGGACTAGGAAACTCTGCTCATGCCATGCCATGCCACAGATACCTCAAACCGCTCTCCCTCTTAATACTTGAAGGGTTTTGGGTGGAGCAGAGGGAGGAGACAACAGAGCTGCTGACTGCTGGGATTGCAGCTGGCGTATGCTGCTTTGTCAGCAAACTAGCTGGTTGGCACCCCAAGCTCACAAGGGTAGACTGGGAAAAAAAAAAATTATATTCAGAGGTAAAATGCAAAAAACTTGCTTTTGTTTTCAAATAACAAATTTACAGTGGCACTGCTCATAACACATTCTGTGGTGCTATTTTCTAAAGTCTGTGTCTTGAAACATCAGTAGTAGTTATTCCCTCGGTTTAAAGACAGGAACAAAAATAAGGCATCCAGAAGTCAAGAGCAGCAGTACCTGTGCTCATGAAGAGCCCCTACAATGCTGTGCCTAAAAAAAGGTGAAGTTACTGGATTGAGCACAGAGTGTGCCCTCAGCAAATGCATTTTCAGGCTTTTCTGAACAAGCTTGTTCTGCACCTATTGAACTCTCTGAAAGCTATTAATCAGATGATAATATAAGGCTAGTGAACGAGGCAGATACAGCAGGGCAGTCAATAACCTGCTTTTAGCCAATCCAGAAATGCAAGGAAAGCATCAGCAGTGACAAATCCAAGTGCTTTTATCACACATAGGCTATATGTCAGACAAAAACACAACCCACAAGTGGCAGTGCTAGGATTGCCAGAAAACAAATACAGTTTCTGCTCAGTCACTAGGAATGGAAAAAAAAAAACCCCAAAACCTTCCAAAATTCTGTTGGTTATCACAAAAACGTGCCTTGATTTGGTCTTACCTTGAAGCTGGTTTGTTGTGGCAACTGGAACCAGAATTCAGCCCCGTGGCTACCCAGCTGCCACATGAGGCATTCTTCCTTCCCTCTCGCACACGGCCTCTTACCAAAATCAAAGAGCAAAGGATTGCCATCAGCCTGTGGCTGGCGTGGCATCTCTCTTGCAAGGTGTTCTTATTGGCGTCAGTTAAGAAAAGGCTGAGGTGCCGGTAAGTGGGAGAACCATTTTTTTCTTTATCCTCTATCCTCCTGCATTCAGTGTATGTTTTTTCTAGCTGTCTTCCCTCTCCAGCTCAGTTACCCAGACTGAAGTTGTCTTACTTCCTTCCCCAGCACAGCTCTCATCTATACTCCAACCCCACCACCAATTAAATAGCCAACATCCTGCACACTAGAGAGCTGTACCCCCACCTGGCAGTGTTTCCTGCCAGACCTGTGGAAGCGCAGCTTTGACAATGTGAAGGCCAGTACTGGAGTTGCAGTTTCTTCCCTTGTCCTTCCTCTAGATTTTGTGATTTGGACCGATTTTAAGTTGTCAGCATCTCACTGGCATTCTCCATATATATGCCTGTCTCATAGCTTACAGGGCTGGGGTGTGTGGGGGGGGGGAGTGCACCACTGTCTATTATAGGTGCTTAGGTCAGATTCTTTAAAAGTTACTCATCTAGATACTCAAAAAAGTACATCCTTAGAGTAAGTCAATACCTGACTAATTCTACATATTAAAACCAGTAGTTCTGCTACTACATTACCTTATTCTTTCCCCTTTTTTTAGGACTTTAACAACTGCTCAGAGCAGCTGTTTAATCCTGTGGAATCCAACCAAACTACCACAGCACTTATTATTAAGGGTATCTTAGTTAGGAAGTTCATTTACAGAACTATTCTCCATGAACCAGACTGTATTCTTTCCTTCATACTTAGCTAAGCATCTACACTAAAATGCAAAACTACATACACGCAGTTCCCCAGTTTAGAAACACAGATGAAAGGAAGACACTGAGCACACGTATCAAGTGGCTAGTTCATGAGGTCTGTTTGGGTAGGCCGTAAGTTTACCTATGGAGACAAACTGCACACTAAAGGAAAAAGTGAGCGAAAACACGTTTTATTTGCAAATCTGGCAAAACTCAATGATTCAGGAACTCGACAGGCAAACAGAAGTGAGAGCGATCTTAAAAACAGGTAAAATCTTCCTCTTTTAATGCATTACTGACATGTGTTTTCATTTAGTTCTACGACAGTAACTTTAATAAGATTTTCTAGTTTTATCTATTTCCCCATCCTCTTGGTAACTTGCAAACTTTGAGTAGTACATGTGGTTGACAGATTTCTATCAAAGATGCAAATAACTGGGAGGCTATTTGGCTTACTGTAAAGCTTATCCAAAAGAAGAAATTACTGCTACTGCTCCTCTGTCCTCAGCAAGTTTCCCTCTTAGCAGCTAGACTAGATGCCTAAACTAGACATCTTTGTACAGAGGGTCTTCGGTTTGATTAACTTACAAACTCCATATTAAGATTCAGTAGAAACTCTATACATGTTTCTAAATTTTCTTTTTGGGACAATAAAAGCATGTAACAATGAAACAAGGGCTTAACCACCCTTAGTAAGGCCGTACATCACTGGCAAAGACAAAGCAAAGTGTATCAAAAAAAGAGACCCAGGGAAGCAGTATCCAGGATCACCCACAGCGACCTGAGAACACGGAAAGAACCTACATTTGTCAGTGAGTTCTCAGCGAGCTGCCCGAGGCAATGTGGGCAATAAAACACGTACACGAAGCGTCTTAGGACAGCAGTTCTACCACTGGCCTCCAGAGAACGTAATTGTTTTCTTCCAGTCATGTCACATTTCTGGAAAACTGAAAATTAACATCTAGAAATAGGCCAGAAAATAGCAATGCTTCTTAAGATGTTATTTCCTGTCCTATAGCATTTGCTAAGCAAATGTTCATATTGAGAAAATACATGGCCACATTCACTTGAAAGCCTGACTCGTTGTGACACAGCCCATATATACTTATGGCCACTAGTTCCAGCCAAACCACCAAATGTTAGTACCTGCTTATTCATAGGTTGTGACTTTCACAGTCTCACTTGAGCTCTATTTTTGTATAGGTCACAAAGCAAGCTACTGCAGGTTTGCAAAAAGAATTTGATTCAACAATTTTCTGATCCAAACAGTAGCTGCCATCGTACAGATGAAACTTCTCCACTTGAGTACTTACAACATGGATTTAAAATAAGCTTTTTGGTTTTTTGTTTTACCATTTTAAACTTGAAACTAGTATCAGGATTAAGAAGCAGCACTTTGAAAACTAAGTCAAGTCATTCTTACGTACACTGACTTGTTTAGAATTGTGATAGACGAGAGGATCAAGAACAGCCATATTCTGTGCTGAAAGGAATCTTTGACTACTAAAAACCTGAGTTTGCTTAAAAACTACTGCGCTGTTGATTTTCCTCTTAACTGAACTGTTTGCAAACAGAAATCCTCTCTATTTCTAAGAAAAATCATTTACAATTATTTGCCCACAGAAGTCATAACATTCTATTTCCTATCCCATGATTCTATTTTTCTGCTATGCTTATCCAAATGTCTGTGCTTCATTCAAGAACAGAAGAGGAGAAGACAAGGCAATTAGTCTCAACAAACCTAACATCTGTTTTGCCACCCCTCCTCATTACAGAAATTCTTTGGATTAACATTCCAAGGGACTGTATTAGAAGTCACCAAGTATGAGGACTCTGCAATATGGAAGATGAGTGATATGAAGAGCTCTGATTCTTCTAAGATACAACACATGTTTTTTCTTCTGCCTTATACTCTATTATATACTCTGGGTAAATCTGGTGTTTTTCAAAGACAACAAAAATGGAGGGATTTAACTCATCGTCCACACAGCTGTCATAAAACCGAAGCCCATCACCAGACTTGACTGGGGGGCGAACGTAGGCCGCATTGCCTTTAACATACTCTCCAACCAATACACGAGCCACGAACATGATGTTTGTTTTCACCACACGCTGACAGTATGCATGGGAATAGGAGGCGTCTCTAGCAAAGTAACATCCTAGAAAATGATATAAAAAACATGGTTATAAGTGACAGCAAAAACAGAGCATCCCGTTATCTTTTAGGAGGTATTTGACCCAACTTTCAGGTCTTCTCTCAGTGAGTTTACATAATCCCAAAGAAATTTTTACAAGAGAAAGGATTTCACCACAGAATTTCCATTCAGAATTTGCTATTTTAGGAATATTTTTTTAAAAACTGAAACATATAAAACCACTACAGGTTCATGTGTTATGATGAGAGGGATAGACAAGAAAAAATGAGGACCTTCCACAATCACTCTGAGGGAATGGACACCCTTCTTGCTCCCTGCCATGAAGACTAGCAGCCATTTCTCTAGCAAGTTCAAATTATGACCTGGAGCCTTCAGAAGATCCCACCTACAGCAAAAGAGGCTTTTTCAAATCCCTACATTAATTCTCTTAACACCTCATGAAAAGACTTGCCCCTGCACAAAGCAAATCCTTGTCCTCACCAGAGGAAAGGAATATCACAATACCAATTCCTACCTCTCTTTTTCCACCCTTCATAGTTACAGACTTCAAAACTTTGATTGCTCTAGTATCAGGGGAGTCTAAGCAGACGTCTAACACACAGAGTCACATCCTACATACCCTTTCCATAATTAGTTCCATTGTTTCCACAAATTCTCCAGTCAAAGTTGTGAAGGCAGATGGCTTCCATGAGGGAGATCTTGGTTCCGTAGAACAGGAGCTTTTCATCTACTTCCTTCCCTCCATTTTCCTTTTTCATGTGCTCCTTTTGCCTAACAGAAAAATGCAGGGGAGGAGACTGTGAGCCATAGAAGAAAAGGGAAAAAGGTTGTTGGTTTTTTGGGGGTTTTTTGGGTTTTTTTTTAAAAAAAGAAGGTATATAATGTACATGTAAATATCAGCTGGATGCCATTTCCAGTCTGCTTTCTCCTCTCAGCTTGGAAGAGGAGACAGACTGGCAGTATGATGAACAACTACAAGATGAGCAATATACTGATACCACTGCCCCACAATTCTAGATAATTCTGTCTGTCTTCAGTGAATTTAAGTAAGCATTCACTGACACTATTACAGTCCCCACCATACCAACCTTTTGCTTCTCCATAGGGTCCTATTAGTTCTGCTTTAATGTCTCTTGTCCCTTCATATCCCAAACTCTCTGTGGAGCGGAGGCTGTACTAACCACAGAGCCTCCCTGCTGCAGCTGTGGGTGAAAGCTTGAGGCAGCTTGTTCTTCACTCCCCTAGGGAACTCAAACTGCCACACGCCTGATCGCTGAGATCAGTGCAGCTGAGGAGGCAGAGCCAGGAGAGGAACTGAGCCTTCTTTCACCACCGAAGAGCTTACTGATTTAGGCCAGAGTCAGACTGAGCTATGACCAGTATCAGAAAGAGGAATCACAACGGAAGGCTCAGCTAGTATCTCCCATCGCTATATCACAGCATCCAGACATCCCACAGGTTTTCTGAAGCTGTTAAGTGGACAAGACAGTACTATTCTTCAGGAAACGATCAGCTGCAAAGTTGGGAGAGGGAAGAATCCTTCCAACTTGTAAACTGCATAAATGAAAAGTTAAGAGCAATGGACTGAAATTTGTTCATTGAGAACTTGGCAACGTTAAACTCTGCTGGCTAGCTGAATTATCTCATTGTAGGAGGATGAAAAGAAAAAGTATGTAGTAATACATGTTTTGAAGTGTTTAAGTTTTGCTAGACAAAAAGGTTTTATGAAATTATTAGCTGATTACTTCCTGAGTTCAGTCACTTTGCAGGTGAGAGTACTTATTTGAGCAGTACTTCTCCATTACCGTTCCATACAGTCCTTGAATACTTTTATTAAGTATCTGTGCTCTTGTTGTAAACTAGACGACTGTTCTATGCAGCAGCTTAATCTGCTACCAAATGAACTTGAACATGGTCATTTATTGTCACTAGCAGCAGCTTAGATCCCTTGGTACCTAGCTCGGTGTAAGTACCCAGAGTTCAGTATCACGGATGCAGATGCTGAAAACCAGAAAGGAGGTCTGGAACTCAGAGACCATTAAGTTAAAGCACAAGGATTCTTTCTCAATGAATACTTACGTCATTCAGCAAAGGTACTCAAACTCTTGAGAAAGCCTTAAATAAATCTGACTAGGAAAAAAAGACCCAAGCACCCTTTAGCCTTGCCCACTTTTTTTTTTTTTGCGCAAGTATTTCATATACTCTAATAGATAAACATTTGTAACAGACAGAACACATGTGCAGCGGGCAGTTACTGTTCAGTCCCTGAGACAATACACTATTACACATCACCGCGGGAACCCTCATCCAAATTTTGCATCACTCGCATCCTTCTGTCCATACCCCTCCCTGCATCCTCCAAGAAGCCGTGCAAAGGGCACCTCCCCCTGGGACCGTGGCATTCTCTGGAAGGCCTTAGACACTTAATTTCACTCCTGAAACGGCTCCTAAGAAGGAAATACCAGTCATGTTAAAGCACAGATGGCAACGTCTTTTCTTTCCTAGGAAGCAGACAGAGGACACCAGCTCTTGGAGACTCCCTCGCCATAAGGATGGGGAAACAAATACTAACCACTGAAACACTTTCCAGAGGGATGGACTCTGAATCCTCTGTATTTTAAGGACACTGTAGTTTTTCATAGTCTGAAGAAACATCAGCTTTATTCTGTTGTATTCAGGGGTTGTATTACTGATCTCCACTGCCTATAAAATATAAACCAAATCAAAAGAAGACATGAGGCTTCAGTTAGCTCGTAACATGCAGAAGCATAATTACAGCAGATACCCTTTCAGAAGGGTCCCCAAACTATACTTATGAAAGTTAATTTAATGCTTTCAATTGTGACTGTGAATAATTAGGACAGACACTTAATGTGTAAATCAGTGCGTCACTCCTGCTTTGCAAGGCCACCTCAGCTCCCTTCAGGGAGGATGCTGAAAGCAAAAAGATCAATTAAATGTTTGTCATCTCCAAGAGTTGACACTTGTAACTTTAAATCTCAATGAAACACAAACTTCAAAAAGAAAACTTGACTGATATTCCAGATGATATTAGTTTTAGATATAAAGCTGATGAAGAACAAAAGATGTTAGATAAGAGTATCATTTGTAACCAGACATTTAAGGGAGCTTTGTCTATGAAAGATCAATCAAAATACAAACCAGCATCATAGCTCCTTAACTTTTCAAAGTTAAAACTTGGAAATCTGCACTTAAATATAGACTTAAGAAAAAAAGCTGTATTTCTAAATATAAAAGAACAATTAAGATTCTAATAGGAATTTTACATTAAATATATGCTAAAGCAAATACATCTCTGCCTTTCCTAGAGGAAACAAAGTATATTTATCTGTATTTTTTCATGTTTAAAAATCCATCAAGAAATGCATATTTTTCCCAAAGAAAAGTTAATGCAAAACACAATTAACGCACAATTTGAGCTCTTCTGCTTCCTTATGCCATGCGTAATTTTTCCATTTTTTTCTCCAAAGTAATCTGTCTTTAATCTTCTAGAATAAACTCTTATCTTCCATAAACTTGACTGAAAATGCATAACGCTGGCAGACTGATGTCACTTGGTAACACTTTCCATTTTACCGCTGCCTAAGCCAAGTGGACACTCAAGATAACTTACAATGCCCAACATCCCACGTATTGAAGCTGTGTTTTAAGCAGGAAAGCTGTGGTCATCCTAGGAGGTAATATGAAATCAACATCTTAACCTGTCAGGCAAAAGCTCCACGTTTTAGAAGGCTGAGTGTAGAGAGGGGATAAAATAGGACTTCTACTTCACAGCTGCATAGAAATAAACAAGTGTTTTTCTGGACACCATGTCCAGTTTGTGCATTAAGTACTTACTGACGAAGAGGCCTGTCATAGGAAAGTCTTCTAAGCATTAAGAATAAAGTCAGCTGCACAGAAAGAATTGTTTCTTTGAATTTATTAAAAAGCTTTTACAAGGTTGAATAAAATTTTCTATGTCTTTATACAAGAGTATTTTCCAAAGCTTCTTTACAACACAACACATAAACCAATTTGGATGGGCGAGTATTTACTATCTGCATGCTCTGTGACACCACAGCTCAAGTTGCTCATGATCACCTACAAGATGAAAACTATGTCACTCCATCTTTTATTTATACATAAACAATTCTTATTTAGACTACAAATATGCTTTTGCTATGTTGCATCTTTTACTAAGGAACTGTAAGCTTTCTGGGTAAAACAAAGGGTCAGCCACGTGGTACAAGGCCTAATCCTGTAAGAAAGGTACTTTGATTATTTTATCATATGACGGCCTCCAAGCAACAAAGCATGAAAACTTTGTGGGATTGGGTAACACTACATTGCTAATGCAGGCTGATATTTCATAACAACATAACTTCTTTAGCTCTTTTCATCTTCAGACCTAAAAAGGAAAATCCTAGAGAACAGAAACATTTGCTAACCCACTATCAAGGAGCGGAGTTTCTGAGGCAGAGAAAGAATTGTTGCCTGACAATAATTTCTATTAGCATATGACTATACAAGAACAGTATTCTGTGATATCAAACCTTGATTTCTGGTTAACTAGGTTTTGGAAGCAGCAGAGTTTGTATTAGTGACAGTGACCCCACTAGAACTAGTGTCTATAAAGTACGCAGGTAGATTCTTCACGTCACATCAGCTCTCATTCCTGGTACAGCACAGAAATCTTCGGCAGGTGCATCAGGATTCAGCAACATAGCAGCCACACAAAGACATCCTCTAACATAAAACCACGTTTGTTGCACACATTTCTCAGTTGTACATTAAAGATACAATTTAAAACCCAGCATGATGTTTCAAGACAATATAAATCCCTTTTTTTGCCTTTAAAAAGTTTACCAACTACTAATTCCACCTTGTTAACCAAAGACAAAAGAGATCCACACCAACTTTCCAATCGGTGTTACCAATTTCCGTTGTGCATTTCATACACTCTACTTTCTATAGAACTATGACTCTAAATGATTGACAGATTAAGACACCGCAACACTCAAAAAATAAGCAATGTTACCAAAACAAAGCTGCTCTTTTTAAACAAAGGTGACTTTCTCCCTATCTCAAATAGGTGTTCCTTTTTAAAATGGATCATTTCCAGCGCAGCAAATTTTGCGAGGATTATTTGTCAATGTCTGAAGAGAAGGGAATTCATCAAGCCGTAATTGTCAGATGTTACGATGGTCACCACATGCATGCAGAATCCCAGCCAGGCCCAATATTACCTACTGCAAAAAAACAAGCTTAGGGTCCCACCAAAGTATTTAATCTAGCCCAGACTTTCACTTTTAGCGCCAACAGGTACTGTGGGCTTCGTTACTTTTTAGGTACAGAATTAACTTTTCCTTTCCTAGGAAAGACACTCAGTTTACAAGTGAAGAGACGGTTTTCTTAGGTGCCAACTCAGCAAGCAAACCGACCTCTGGGAAACAAGATGATCCTTTTATTTCATGCATCCCCACAAGTACCACCAGCCATACCATGGATCTGCACACCACAATCCAAAGCCTCTCACGTCACCCCAGTAACTCCAGAAACACCCCAACAAATGGGCTCAACTAAAACTCAGACTGAAATTTTCAGTGTAAATAAGGGAAGCAGTTATGTACATCCAACTCAGAGACCTAGAAGCAACTGAGCTACGTGTCTTCCTGGCATTCTTTTGAAAAATTCAAGCTTATGTTAATCAATTAAGCTGCTGATAAGCGAAGAGCTGATTAGCTATATCCTTTATTATTTTGACAGATCTCAACATACCACAGGCCCAAATCTTCAAAAGGTCTGGCTGCCAGATTCCCACACAAAATCATTATCAGTTCATTCAGCAAGTGCTGAACACCTGACACTTTTATAATCTTGAAGAATTAGGAGTTTTTGCTACTTGTAAAAAACAGCTATTTGAAGGGAGTTAATGTACAGAGCAGCTGACTTAAATTTTACCCATTAATTTTTCATCAGAAGTGTATTTAGATGAATTTGCTATATACACACATGGCCAGGTACAGGTATTACGTTGAGGAAGGCATAATCCAAACACAAGAGGGTAGTCAGGGTAAAATGAAACATTCAGCACAAAGCAGAATAACAGAAACCGGCCCACAGAAGCTAAGAAACGGGATACTTCTGGTTCTCATGCCACTGCCAATGTAACTACACTAGGGAACATAAAACACAGAGAGTGAGAATAGCAATGGAGCTCTCTGTCAACTGAAAGTAGCCAGAAAGAATTCTGGAAATATGGTATTACTTCTCTGCTGCCCCTAGCCATCAAGGTACCTGTGCCAATGCAACGTAGTCAGTGTCACACAAGGTTTTATGACACAGTCAACAAGGAAAACCTCTTATGCTCCACATTATGTTCCTTAATCAGGGTCAAAACCACTACAAAAAAAGGACCAGTGTAACACTGAAAAGCCTTTTTTGTGGCATACTGTAGTACTTCCACTGTCTGTTTTGCTCTTCCAGAAGGACTGCTTCTTAATACCATTAGAACTAGTAATTTAAAAAAATACCTGCACATTTTTGGTCTTAGTAGACCAAATAGAAACATAGACTTTGGGCTGGCAGGGGGTTGGGTTGGTTTGTTGAAGAGATAACTGCCAATGTTTTAAGATATTATTAGCTCTAACTATTGCTACCATTTTTTGAGGCCGTGGTCTGTGCTCAGATCTGTGATGTATGTGACAGTACTGTGGGACTTGAAAGGGCACATAGATATTTCCTTTCCCAGGTCTCCAATCCAGACTTTATCCACCAACAACCAATATGGTATTGCTATTGGATGGCTTTTCAATGGCTTACACAGAAAGGGTTTGGTCTCAGCCCAGCATCTAGTGAAGAAATACACGCTTTATGGAAGCCCCTTGCTTAACTGGTCCACCAAGTCACCAAGGTAAGCTATTAGTACATTTTTAACAGTGAATCTTTTTGTCAGGAATTTGGTGAGTTTTGGTTTTGCATCTATATAGATGCCTAAAATGCAGATGAAGTTCATGGGAATTTGGCAGCTTTTTCAGGAGCTCTTGGGAGATCACCTACATCCTTAGCACACCCACCCAAGGAATCACTCCTGTCTCTTTTTTAGCATCTACCCAGTTACAAATGCTTCAGTATCCTCCTTCGAATTGTGCCTTTCCATCAGAATTACAAGAGAGGAAAGCAAAAAAAAACCCCATAAAAAATACCTTGTATCCCAAGTCAGGTAGTGCAGATGGATCCCAGTGGCTAGGATAGGCTTGATTTGGAATAGAAGAGTCCCCTTGGCTGTTTGCAAACAGACAGAAAACAACGTGTTAGTAACTCTAGTCCTGCTCTGACCATTCAAATTGGCAGCATCCCCTTTGGCCAATTCCTACATTTAAAAATAAAGAAAAAAAACAACAAAGAAAGTGGGAAATGGCCTCAGTCTGTGAAGTGGGCTTTACAAACTGCCATTCAATTATCACAGTCTTTAAGAAACAACTGTCCATCACTAGTCCTGTGGATGTGGTACCTGGAGTAACACATACCCCAGAAACCAGGTGATGCACCAAGCCGGCAGTTTGTGATATAGCTTCTGTTCAGTCAAACGGATATGTCTTCTTCTAGCAACAGCTGCGTTCTTTGCACAATTGCTGCCAGCACTGGCAGCCATTTTGCCTTATAATTACTTTTGAAATATGAAAACCCAACAACTTAGAGAGCATCATTTACCCTGTCTTTATCTTCTGTACATCTTCAGAAGACACAAACTTTGGTCGCCTGCAGACCTGTCTTCGAGTTTTGAGAGAGGTGTTTGTCTGGGTCATTTCTTGAGGAGAAGACAGAAGGAAAAAAAATTCATGAATAAGTCTGCAAGATGGGGTCATTAATTAATGACAGTCATTCAATAATGAGAAGTGCATATTCACTGTCAACTCTATCTGCTGAAGAACAGTTGCACAAAGCCTATGTAAGCTTCTTGTCCTTCCTGTAACTCCGTTATTTAACCTGTATCTATCTTGCTTGCTCCCTTAAGTCATTCATGCTCTTTACATGTTGCTCCAGCAGCACTGAAAGACGTTGATTTTTCATTTTTACCATCCACAGGGTTAACTCACTTTACTTAAGGTTTACTATGACTTTATGTGAAGACTATGAACCTTTTTATTTCTGGTCCAGTGTGAGTCTGGATAGTGTCAAGGAATAAGGGGAAAGGTTACTTTTATAAGGAATTTCCTCTGGGCCATTGCTACCTCACTTCCCCTTCCAATGAGTAAATCTGGTAATGTTAGTAAAAGAAGTCATAGCTTCTAAAAGCTAGGATAGCTTGCAAGTTAGTCTTTGTAAAGCACTGCATAGTTGTAAATGAGAACCTTTAAAATGAGTACCTTTAAAATTGAGATCGTAGTGATACATGCCAGCCTGGAAAGATATGCTGGATTCTGGATCTGCTAGATACAAATTCTCAATAATATCAGAAGATGGGGAGTTCACAGTACATGCTTGTCCCTTTGTGAAAGAAAAAAAAAAAGAGAGAGAGAAGAGTAATGAGTAAACACAGTCAGGACTAAACCCTGGCTAACTAGTTTGGGTAGAGGGAAAGAAGAGGCAAAGAGTAGGATGAAGAGGAGTCTACCAAGAACTATGTGGTCTAAAGCATGATTACCAATCCACACAAATACATAATTCGTAATGATGGACACACATGTATCTCATTTAAATTTCTGTAACAAGTTGTACTGGTTTGGCCTGAGATAGAGTTAATTTTCTACATAGTAGCTGGCATGGCACTATATTTTAGATTTGTGCTGACAACAGTGTTGATATCACAGGGATGTTTTCATTGCTGCTGAGCAGTGCTCACACAGAGCCAAGGCCTTTTCTGCTTCTCACACCACCCCACCAGCGAGGAGGCTGGGGGTACACAAGGAGCTGGGAGGGGACACAGCTGAGACAGCTGACCAAAGGGATGTTCCATAAGATACAACATCATGCTCAGCAAGAAAAGCTGGGGCAAGGAGGTGAAAGGGAGAGACGTTCAGAGTTATGGCATTTGTCTTCCCAAGCAACCATTTCATGCGATGGAGCCCTGCTTTCCTGGAGATGGCTGAACACCTGCCTGCCCATGGGAAGTGGGGAATGAATTCTTTGGTTTGCTCTGCTTGTGCGTGTGGCTTTTGCTTTACCTATTAAACTGTCTTTAGCTCAACCCACGAGTTTTCTCACTTTTACCCTTTTGATTCTCTCCCCCATCCCGCCGGGGAGGAGTGAGCGAGCAGCTGCGTGGGGCTCAGTTGCTGGCCTGGTGTGACAGATGCATTCGACCTCTCAACCAAAGCAGTGGTAGTTTGGTTCAGGCTCCAAAGGCAGTGAAGTCCTAGGCCATGACTGGACTTCTCTAGTTCCAACCTGTTCTCTGAAACCCCACACAGGAACAGGGTGACATGGTGAGCATTGATGCATATAAGCTTGGAAACTGGCACACCGATCATGCGATAAACACATGAATAGCTAGTAGTTCTTCCAAAACTAATTTGCCACGGAACAAAGAAAATTGTGGGTACAAGCAGTCTCATGCTTACCTTTCCATCCCATGTAATTTGACTACAAGCCAACCACTTTATTCCATAAATCTCTCTCTGCTAAGCAGCAGGCTGCAGAGTGGTGACTCCTTGAGCTGGAGCACCTCTCAAGGTTACTCCTAGAGGCCAAGAGACCCCTTACCCACTGCAGGTCTTTGGTAAGTGACCGGTATCACGCATAATTTTGTATTACAGTGTACTAAGATTTTGTATAGGTAACTTTGAATTATTATGATATCCTCTGTGCAGTAAGTAATAGAGTGAATTTTAACGTTGGACTTTGTTAAGCCTCACTTTTACAACATCCTACTTCAATAAAACTACTTTTGCTGCTACCTTTGGCGGTGGTTCTTTAAACGGTCTAAAATCTCCCCCGCAACAAACTGGCACGGTCAGATTCTAAATCTGCTCTGTGACACTGGGGTTAAACCATGATGCAAGTATAATTCTCTAATGTACAAACCAATGTAAAATATGAGGGTATGCTGACAGAGATGCTTTCCATTTAAGCTGCCTACTGAAATCAAGACCCACCATTGCCAGAGCAACTGTATCCACCATCTTTCCCTGCATCCCCTTCCATGTCCCTGGATCACCTTTGTGTTCTGCCATTTGTGCAGTTATACTGTAAACCAGATGGGGAAAGCTCATCTGCCTTGGGGGAAGGAGAGACTCCTTTTTTATTTCTTTTCCTACATTTTTCAGCTAGATCACTTCTGTCAAAGAAGATTTGGCCACCCAAGGAAAAAGGTAGTATTTGGTCTGAGAGAGCAGAGAAATCCTCACATGTCCAAGCAAGCAGGACAGCGCTGAGAGGAGAGGCAAGACTACTTCCTGCATAATTTAAAAGGCAATATATCTCAAGGACAGTGTATACATGTTAAATCTGCGTAGAAGCCACGGACAACTCCAAAAGGGAATCTGACTAGAAAAGCCAGCGTGCATCATTAAAAACAGTCTGATCAACACTAGCTGAAAAAAGGAATTTTGTTTCCCTGCATTTGCCAACAAGGTCTTTGTCAGGAAAGTAGTTATAACAAATCATCCAAACACAACAAAAGACAATCATTCATACTGAATCTCACTGCAAGGAGATAAGGCCTGTTCCCTGCCCTCCAGCCTATCATCATTTTATCACATCTTTTATGAACATCTGTAGCTTCACTGCCTTACTTGAAACTGCAAAATTCAAGCACAAGTATTCACTTAATTAACCCTGCAGAGTAAAGGGGAGTGGAGGGGAAGAGGCTCCACACATTTCTTCAGAAGTGATTCAAAGCCCAGGATGCGGACCCACCTGTTCTCCATATTCAATCCACTGGCCTTGGTCATTCTTCCAATACCAAATCCACTGTGTGGTCAATACAAATAAGGGTTTTGTGACTGAAGATGGTGTAGAGAGGCGTCGAAGTGAAGAAGAATGGCAGGTCATTGTCTGGAAATTAATGTTCTCACTGGCTAGACTGTAAGGACGAATTCAGGTTTATTATAGTTAACACTGTATATTTTATCCTCTAACCCCCAGTTTAAGCTGGTGCAATTTTCTGTAATATAATGTGACTGCCTGAACTTAATTAGGCCTGAAATAAGAGTATTTCCCACAGCATGGATGGCAACTCTGAAAACTGTTTCCAATCTTCAGAAGCGAACTATGGTCTGAAGACACTGAACGCCATCTCAGTTGCTAGCCACATGTTGCACTGCCAGCTTTAAAGGCAGTCTGGGGCTACATGTACAATGTGGCATAAGGCATTTCTGCAATCAATAAGCATGGTTACAGTTTTTCTTAGTATGAAAATAGAAGTTAGTAAGTACGTGACTAGGTTTGCCAGCAAACACCTGCAGCTTATCAACTTTGTTCTTTTTCTGTGGTTACAGAGGATGCAATCACAGCTGTGAGTTCTGTAAAGAGCATTCATCACTGAAGCCACCTGGGCTCTTACTCTTGGGAGGCTTGAAAAATTAACTCTCAGGCAGAAAGACTTTGAAAGCAGCTTCCTCTTGGGAATCTTGCTCATGATTTGCACCATCCAACAGCCTAGTCAAGCTGCAAATCAAAGTAATCTGCTGTCTGAAGAGGCATGGGCCAAAATCACTATACCATTTTATTGAGGCAAAACTTGGGGTCCCCTGTGAATCCAGGTGGCTTACAGTGGGCCTTTCAGAAAGGAGTTAAGAGGAAGATGCACTATCTTAAAAGAAAAAAAAGAAATAAAAAAGATAGGCTGCTTACACAAAGGGCATTTCATAAAATTTCTCTAGGCACATTATAGATATTATATTATTAAAGATACTAGCTGTATTAGGAAAGGAATAGCCATAGAGAAGGACCAGTTCTAAACTGTTGTTAAAAAGCTCAATTATTATAAATAAATTATGATTCATTAGCTGAAATACTAATATTCTAAGCACTAAATTCCACCCACTTCTTTTTTCCCTGTATAGAGTTTTAAATGCAAGATATTGTTGTGTTATTTTTAGAAGACAAAAATGTGGTGCTATTTCCACACAGTCACTTTTACTTTTTTTTTTTTT